TTGTGGCTTAATTATCATAGATGCAACGAAGTACGATTTCTTGCCACCAAATTAAGATTAATTATCAAAGATGAAAAGAAGTACGATTTGTTGCCGCTAGTTTTTTGGTTATTTGTCAAAGCATTAAAGAAATACGATTTATTGCCATCAATTTGTGGTCAATTATCAGATCAATTATCAGAGATTGAAAGAAATACGATGTGTTGCCACCAGTTTGTGACCAATTGTCAAAGCTGGAAAGAAGTACGATTTGTTGTCACTAGTTTCGTGATGAGTTGTCGAAGACGCAAAGAAATTGAGAAATTGGTTAATTGTCAACTTGTGGTTTATTGTCAAAGCTGGGAAGAAGTACGATTTGTTGCCGCCAGCTTGTGGTTTAATTAAAGCAGATGGAAACAAGTATGGTTCGTTGCAACCAGCTTGTGGCTTAATTCTCAAAGTTGGAAGTACGATTTGTTGCCACTACTTTGTGGTTAATTATCAAAAATGAAAAGAAATACGATTTGTTGTTCCGAAATTTTGGTCAATCATCGAAGATGGGAAGCACGATTTGTTGTCACCAATTTTGTGATGAATTGTCAAAGATGGGCAGAAGTTGTGTAATTATCGAAGATGCAAGGAAGTAGGATTTGTTGCCCCCAGCTTGTGGCGTAATTGACAAAGACGGAAAGAAGTACGATTTGTTGCCACCTCTCTGAGGGAAATTGACAAAGATGGAAAGAAGAACGATTTGTTGCAGTCAATTTATGGCTAAATGTCAAAGATGGAAAGAAGTATGATTTGTTGCCATTTGTTAGTACGATTTATTGTCACCAATTTCTGGTTCATTGTCAAGAAGTACGATTTGTTATCACCAGCTTGTGGTTTAATTAACAAAGATTCAAAGAAGTACGATTTGTTGGCACTAGTTTTGTGGGCAATTGTCACAGATAAAATGCAGCATGATTTGTTGCCATCAGGTTGTGCTTAATTGTGAGAGTTGGAAAGAACGATTTGTTGCCACCAATTTGTGGTCAATTGTCACAGCTGGAAAGAAGTGCGAATTGATTTAATTATCAAAGAGGCAAAGAAGTATGATTTAGTGCGCCAGTTTGTGGCTAATCGTCAAAGATGGAAAGATATACGATTTGTTGGCAAATATGGAAAAAAGTATGATTTCTTGCCATGATTTTGTGGTTAATTGTCAAAGCTGGAAAGGGGTACGATTGGTTGCCACCAGCTTGTGGTTTAATTGTCAAAGCTGGAAAGAAGTACGATTTGTTGCCACCAATTTTGTGCTTGATTATCAAAAATGGGAAGAAGCACGATTTGTTGCCACCTATTTATGATTCATTGTCAAAGATGGAAAGAAGTACGATGTATTGCCAAAAGCTGGAACAAGCTACGATTAGTTGCCCATCACTTTGAGGGAAATTGACAAAGATGGAAAGAAGGACGACTTATTACATCCAATTTGTAGTTAATTGCCAAAGATGGAAGAAACTTGATTAGTTGCCAGTAGTTTGTGGCTTAATTGTCAAAGATGGAAAGAAGTACGATTTGTTGTCACCAGTTTATCAGCAATTATCAAAGATGTAAAGAAGTAAGACTTGCTGCCACCAGTTCGTGCCCAATTATCGAAGATGGAAAGAAGTGCGATTTGTTGCCGTGAATTTTGAGATGAATTGGCAAAGAAGAAGAGATATTGATTAATTAACAAAGATATAAAGAAGAAGGATTTGTTGTCACCAGCTTGTGGCTTAATTGTCATAGATGGAAAGAAATACGATTTGTTGCCACCGGTTTGTCATTAATTGTCAAGCTGGAAAGAAGAACGATTTGTCGCCACCAGTTGGTGGCCAATTATCGAAGATAGAAAGAAGTACGATTTGTTGTCCCTAGTTTTGTGATGAATTATCAAAGATGGAAAGAAGTTGGTTAATTGTCAAAGAAGCAAAGAAATATGATTTGTTGCCCTCAGCTTGTGGCTTAATTGTCAAAGATGGAAAGAAGTACGATTTGTTGCCACTAATTTCTTTTGGTGAATTGTCAAAGCTGGAAAGAAATACGATTTGTTGCCTCCAATTTGTGGTTAGATAATTGGCGAGATAGAAAGAAATACGATTTCTGGTCACCAGATTGGGATTTAGTTGTCCAAACCACAAAGAAGTATGGTTTGTTGCCGCCAACTTGTGGCTTCATTATCAAAGATGGAAAGAAGTATGATTTATTGCCATCAGTTTATGGTTAATTATCAAGAATGGAAAGAAATATGATTTCTTGCCACCAATTTGTGGTTAATAGAGATTATATCGGGATTTATTTAAGCGTCTCGGCTTAGCAAGTTTGCGCTGGCCCTGCTCGATTCTTGCTGCGGCACTGTTACGGACGACGCCCCCTGACGAAGTTGCCGAGGTTGGTAAGTGTGCCGTTGACATTTTGAGTATCGCTGACGGCGCCGTTGAGGATGCCATTCCAGCTAGAGTTGGCACGGTTGACGTCACCACGGATTGATCCAGCGTTGTTGTCACCACCATTGAGGGCGACATCGTCAAAACTGACACCTTGGATGATGGAACTACGGACGTTTCGAACATCGCTCACTGAGTTTTTGCATACTACATCACTGCCCGGTTGGCGAAATGGCTGCTGGACTAAGTCAGCTTGCTGATAGCAACTCTGGGCGCAGTGTCACTGCATGGGATATCTCTGCCGTGCCTGCCCTGTGGACGGTTGCATCGTGGACGTTTCAAGCTTCACTTGTGCCTTCGCTGCCGACGCGGGCAAATGGAAGATGGTAATCTGGACGATTCGGGCATTACTCTGTACCTTGAGACAATGGCTACCCGCTCACACCTGGCACACAGAAGCCCTTGAGCTGGGGGTCGGGTGCTTCATTAAGCAGATATACGCTTGAAAAGCTTTCGCTTCTTCCATTAATGCTTGACCTGGGGCCGCGTGTCTGGGACACGCCCCTCCGCCCTGATCGGTTCTATGCAGCCAGCCGCTCTTCATCAGGGTTGCTTGCTACCCTCCAAACAGCTTCGCAGCGACCCGGGCGCTTTACAGCCCTTGCCCCCTCGCCGTCTCTATTTTCTCAGGTTCACATGGCTGTGGGCATATACACCCACTGTTGGCCCACACCAGCGACCGCCGCTGAGCACACAGCAAGGAAGCAAGGAAGGGGGTTCATTTTGAATCTGGGAAGTGGATTATCTTGCCAATATCCAATCCTTGTTGGTTTGTTTCTGCCGGTTTGTGGAGCTTGGATGATATAGGATGTTTGCCTTGCTTTGCGTAGGATCATGATTTTTTCGGAACTCCACATCCCATTTATATCTAAATCCCATCGTGGACGAAGATACGTGGGCGCCCATTACTTTGCCCGGCAATGATTCTCACTCATTCATTTTGGATGATTCTCGAAAGAAATAATATCACATACGAAATTTTTCAATACGATTCATAAAATCTCCCCAATCAAAACAACCAATCAAACTATTGAATTATTCTCGGAATACACAACCCTAGAATATCCCTAGAATGCCCGTCCCTAGAATACCTCTACCAAGAGAGGATGGGAATGTTCGAAATAAATTACTTCGATGGATTTCTTTATGATTCCAAATGATTACTCTAATTTCTAAATTACTAATTTTAATTTATCCAAATCATAAAGTATCAAAAACTATCAGAATCATTGACAAGCCGAAAAAATTCTCAGAAATATGGATTTGTTCGATACTAAGGTAGGGGTGGGGGATAGATATTCGGATTTCGTGAGGACAACTTCGGGATATGCTTCATGGATATATTTCGATTCATATTTCAGAAATATAATTCAAGGTCTCCTTCGGAATTTTTTATGTAAGATATTAATCCATATAAATTTGAGTTCACCGAAATGAATAAATCATATCATTAAAAAAATAATTCAAGAAATTAGATTTAGATCCCAATGGGAGGTGTCGGGCCTTCTCCCAAATATTCCTAGATATCCGGCAGATATATTGTTGCCGATAACAATCTTCTCCAAATAATATTCTTAGCACCGATTTCTCTCTTTATTATTTCCCCTTTCAAAGAATCTATCTTAAGAATGACCTCACAAGAATCTATTATCATTACTCCAACCTATACGATCAAAATAAGAACCCAATACGATAATAGATAATTCAGAATTTAGAATTTCAGAATACAAGAAATTGAGAGAAAGAAACCCACCTTTGCTGAATAGACCGAAAGAACACTTATCGTTGGTATTTGCCACTTTCTATATCCATAAGCTCGGAAATCTATATTCATTTGTAATCATCAATTGTTTCTTATACTCATCAAATTAACAACCTCTACGAATTCTCGAATAAAAAATTCAAAATTCTGTATCTTTTGTCCTCCAATAGATCTTGCTTTCATTTCTGAAAGTTCATTATAAATATCGAAATTAATAAATACGAATTATCTAGTCTATAAATCATATTAAGCCTTATATGCCTCTCTTTCTAACTGAAGAATTTATTCTTTCCATAGTCGAAGAAATGAAAATTAATTATGAAATAATGAAATGCTTATCCCACTCTTCTCCAAAACTTAATTATCAAAAATAGAAAAATACTTTCGTATTTAGAATAAGAAATCCTTGTGTGGCCATATTTCGTTTCGTATCAGATTTCAGACTCCTGGGGAGGGTGTTGTGACCACACCGCTCATTTTCCTGCACAATGTAGAATGGCGACCCTGAACCAAGCAAGAAGTCCTGCACCTCAAACTTACAGCATCCGGAGCCCTGCCCGAGTATTGCTTTGTCTTTTGCAGGTACGCGAATGAACTCGCAAGAGCCCGGCGAGCCTGTCGCTCGTCAAACAAATTGCCCCAAAGCGTCTCTGATTGGTCTCCGTGGCCAGGTGGCAGAGCAGCTGCCACACAACTGGGATCCACTCACTGTTTTTGCTAACACACAACTTCGGCAAGTGAAACAGCCGGCACAGCTGATTCAGCTGCAAACGTCTTTTTCTTTGAGGCTATTGCATCAGCACGCCACAGGAGGTCCAACTTGGAGTTGCTGCCACGCGCCTCTCCTGAAGAGCGACAGCGCAGTCAGCCAAGGCGCTTCTTCGTGTCATTTTGGCGACGCCCATCGACTGATGTAAAATTCCCAGTCCTCCTCCATTCTCAGTCGTCGTTTGCCGTCGTTTGCAGTTCGTTACCTGCTGATGTGGGATGGAGCGTTTTCCAAAGGCCCAATGTGCCAGCAACTGTTGCTTGCCGGATTTTGGGCATGCCATTGTGTGTGTGTCAACATAAGCAAACTGCCAAGCCAGCATGTCAGCGCCGGATCCATGCTGGCACAAGTGCTCCATGAGGTCGCGCACCAACGAAGGAGCCACGGTGACTTCATCAGGCTCAGGAAAGCCCCTGAGTTCATTACTGACTTGCAACTCAGTTTTCAAGCTAGGTTAAGGTGCTTTGCCAACCCCACCTGCTTGAGAAGTCAAGGGGCAGGTTGAACTCCTTGCACAGCTTCAGGTTGCCGTCAAACCGGCATTGATCCAAGCGCCTGCTGACTTGCGCTCTCAACGGGGCTCGAGGAATGCACACATCTGAAACTTCTAGAATGCAAAAATACCGGAATTCAGGTCCAGCCTTGCGGTCCTTTGCCCGCGAGCTGACCATGTCTGGAACCTGCAGATCCATCAGCGCTTTGTAGGGCGGGAAGACATGCAGCATGTTGCAAATCGTGTTGCCTTCGGGTCCTGTTCTGGAAATGCTACTGCTCGTCAGGCAGGCAAGGCAACCATTGCCATCATGCCAGGAAAACAACAAACCCAAGACCCCAGGCTCTTGAGCCTGAACCGCCTGCAAACTGCTGCAGTCAGGCAGCTGAGCTTCGACACCTTGCGCGGCGGGAAGTCCGCAGCTGTTGGCGTTCAAGCTGGAGAGCTCGGTGTTCCTTAGTGACTTGGGATATGTTGGGATTGCATGTGGGGCGGGGCAGCTGCGTTAATTCGTAGGCTCGGAGATATGCTCGAAAGCGTCCATGACTTTTAGACTCGTTTTCTTTTCAGGCTCTGGGGTTGAGAGTCAAAACCTCATGTTCAAAACGATTGCTGGGACTTCCTGACTATCTCAACCCAACCTCAATACTGAGAAGCCTGCACTGCACTGTGCTAAGCCACAGCCTCACCGCCTTGAGCCTCAAAAGTGGCAAGAGGCCGTGGCTCCAGTGTTAGAGGCCACACCGGCCGAGGCATTTTCATTCGGCAGCTCGTTTCCCTGCGCGACGCGGCACATCCGAGAAAAAGGCCAAGCGGTCGTTTCTCAACTTGCATGCTTCAGAATTCTGCTGTGACCCATGGAGTGGGCCTCTTCACATTGGGACAAGTGAAGAACAAGTGGAGTGGGTCCCAACCCCGTGCTTGACTCGAGAAGCTTGCGAAGTGAGTGCGATGTGCTGTTCATGTTTGGGCTCTCGGTCTGGGGTTCTGCAACTAGCGGCACGCTTGAGTCAGTCAGACGCAGCGCCGCAGCAGCATAGAGCACCACAGCAGCGTAGAGCACCAATAGCATTATGTCGGTCTTTTCCCTACACATGCTGGAAAACCAGGAATCCAGAAAATTATGGAAAAACCATGAAAACCACTGTGAAAAAAGTGAAATGAAAAAACACTTTTTTGAAAAATGTGAAAAAAAAAGTGAAAAAATGTGCAAAAGAATGTGAAAAATGTGGAAACATATAGAGAATGCGGAAAGCATGCAGAAAACGATAATAATAAATTTGATTTAACAGTACAAAAAAAACAATGCGAAGATGGGATCCCATGATGCACCATAAGCAAAATACCAAGCGCATGGGCGGGGCTGGCTGGCGGGCGGGGGGCGTGGAGGGTTGGGGCGGGGTTGTGGGCGGGGTGTGGGGGGGTGGGATGCGATAAACAGCTACCACACAGAAATTGGCGCTTGCGCGCACCTCGCATCGCGGGTTGGGGCGGGGTTGTGGGCGGGGTGTGGGGGGTGGGGGGGGCGTGGTGGGGGGGGGGCGAACTTCTCCAATCAGGCGATGCGATAAACAGCTACCACACAGAAATTGGCGCTTGCCTTGGAGGAGCACCGCTTCCCACGGCTGGAGGAAACTTGCACTCGCGCTTCGGCGACTACGGCTCAAGGGCACTGTTATCGTTTGGCACATGTCTCACCACGCACACACACACACACAACAGACAACACACACACAACACAACGCGCGCAACACAAACAACACACACACACACACAAACAACCCACAACACAAACAACACACACAACACACACAACAGCACCACAGACACCACACACAACACACACGCGCAACACAACACACACACACAACACACACACACGAGACACACACGACGCACACACACACACACACAACAGCACCACACACACACACAACACACACACACAACACACACGACACACACAACACACACACAACACACGACACACACAACACACACACACACAACACACACAGCCCAACACAACACACACACACACAACACACACACACAAAACACACAAAACACACAACACACACACACACACACACGCACACACACACACAACGCAACACAACACAGCACACACAGCACACACAACACACACAACACACACACAACACACCACAACACACACACACACAACGCATTACACACAACACCAACACACACAACACACACAACACACACACACAACTAACACAACACACACAGACACACACAACACACGCAACACACACACACACACACGCACACACACGCACACACACACACAACACGCAACACGCGCAACACAAACAACACACACAACAGCACCACAGACACCACACACAACACACACACACAACACACACACACAACACACACACACACACAACACACACACACACACACGAGACAGACACGACACACACAACACACACCACACACACAACACACACACACAATACACACGACACACACGACACATGACACACACACGACACACACACACACACAACACACACACACACAACACACACACACGAGGCAGAAGACACGACACACCACATAACACCACACACCACACACAACACACACCGCACACACGCAATCATAACACGCGGGGACACACACGACACAATTGGACAACACACACAACACACACAACACACAACAACGCACACAACAACGCACACAACACACACAACAACACACACAACACACACAACACACAACAACACACACACAACACACACAACACACACAACACACACAACACACACAGCACACACACAACACACACAACACACACAACACACACACACACACACACAACACACACAACACACACAACACACACACACACACAACACACACACAACAACACACACAACACACACAACAACACACACAACACACACAACACACACACACACACACACACCACCCACACACACACACACACACACCACCCACACACACACACACACACACACACACACACACACACACACACACACACACACACACACACACACACACACACACACACACACACACACACACACACACACACACACACACACACACACACACACACACCACACACACCACACACACCACACACACCACACACACCACACACAGCCCACACACAACACAGGCGCACAACCAACCAAGACACACACACATATCCAGGCAGAGACTATGCACAGGATGGAGCCACAGGAAAGGTCTCCAGAAGCGAAGCCCTGAACCCTGCAGGGTAGGCGCCGAAAAGGCCACCCCGTGGCCTGAGCGAAAAGGCTTTTTTTGACTCAAGTTTTCCCCGTCCTCCGTCTCTCCGAAAGGGCCTCGGCATCGGCCGTGAGGAGGTCCAAGAATGGCTTCTCGCGCAGGCCAAAGAAACACAGCTTTGCTCGGCTTTGACGACTGAAGCACGTCGGCCCTGGCGGTGCTCGCGGCCATTCTCCCTCTCCTCGTCGTCCTCCTCCTGCTCCTGCGCCGCTTGCGCCGACGACCTCTGCGCGGAAGAGACTCCGGGTAATTATTGGCGTTATTCGGTTTTTAATTTTTTTGAGGGGGCGGCTTGGTATGGTTTGGTTTCCTCGAAACAGCTCTCATCTGATATGCACAGGGGGCTAAGATCGAAGGTCAACCAGTCGCGCGTGCATGTAAACCCAAATTTCCCGCGCCGGAAGAAGCCGGCAACTTGAAACTTGATATCAATGCCGGCATCCGCTCGCCGCGCGAGGCGCCTTGTGGAGTCGATCATGTCCGCTGCCATCTCGCCAGTGGCCTCCCAACACAAGCGCCCTTAGACCCCTCAACCCGAGCCCTAATCCCTGAAGACCAAACTCCTGAAACCATCATTGAAAGCCTGAAGCCCCGAATCCTACAAGTGTCCTGCGCAAGCTCCGCGAAGACACTGGGGACTCAGGCGCTAAAATGTTGCAAGATGGGAAACGTGGCGACTCATGGCTCCCAAGTCCCAGACCGGCTGAAGCCATAAAGTATTAGGGTTTAGGGTCTATACGGGCTGCGGTTCAGGGTTGGGGGGTTAGGGTCTAAGGGCTTTTAAGGTTAGTGTTTGGGCTATATGCTGCTGTGGTGCTCCTGGCTGCTGCGGCGCTGCGTCTGACTGACTCAAGCGTGCCGCTTATTGGAAACATGACCCGCGCATCGCACTCACTTCACAATCTTCTCGAATCAAGCACGGGGTTAGATGGGGTTGGGACCCACAAGTGTTGTTCACTTGTCTCAATGTGAAGAGGCCCACTCCATGGATCACAGCAGAATTCTGAAGCATGCAAGTTGAGAAACGACCGCTTGGCCTTTTTCTCGGATGTGCCGCGTCGCGCAGGGAAACGAGCTGCCGAATGAAAATGCCTCGGCCGGTGTGGCCTCTGACACTGGAGCCACGGCCTCTTGCCACTTTTGAGGCTCAAGGCGGTGAGGCTGTGGCTTAGCACGGTGCAGTGCAGGCTTCTCAGTATTGAGGTTGGGTTGAGATAGTCAAGAAGTCCCAGCAATCGTTTTGAACATGAGGTTTTGACTCTCAACCCCAGAGCCTGAAAAGAAAACGAGTCTAAAAGTCATGGACGCTTTCGAGCATATCTCCGAGCATATGAACAAACCCGTGGGACCAACCGGGGCTTTCGTAGCAAGGAACTATTTCTGTGTGTGGGACCACACTCACCTTTGCAGCCCGAACACCATATACCCAAACGTCCTGAAACCTCACATCCCTACTGAGGCCATTGAGGCCGTACTGAAGCCCTACTGAAGCTTTTCTTTCAGCCTTTCCACCTCGCAAAATGACACAACATGCCACGAGATGT